TAAAGTCACCAAAAGCGGCTGACTTAAAAACTTGGTACACAGTGGTTATTTTAAGAGTTTGTAGAACCGGATACCTTCCCTTTTTCAGGATGTTTTCATAAGCCAAAAAGGGGGTTAGGCGCCACCGAGGACCCCTCTTCACTTGACAAGTGACGTTCCACCATACTTTTAAAATGTTAAAACGTCACGATGGTTTGGGAAACAACAAATCGATGGACTAAAATTTGATATCTCATTTCGTCGTTGTTAATCTTAATGGTTTCACTCAAATTAGGTAATAAATTTTTTTGAATCTTTTGGGGTTTGATAATGGTGGTGGTATTAAAGATTTTCGGGGATGGAACGGAGATGATTTATTAAAGTATAATCTGACGAAACCCGGGTCGATATTAAATTACAACGGTGGCGCGGGGGCGATGGCGCTTTCCGTGAAGGCCACGGGTCCCGCGACACGGGGTGTCAATCATCGGTTTGCAAATCGGCTTTCAGCATTGTGGCCTGTCGGATTATACCCGGGGCACCCCCAACGCCACCGCACCTCTATTATTGACATAATCTCGGGTGCCACGTCTGTTTCCCATTATATATACTCACCACACAATAACAATTTCTAAATATTTTAACAAATTGAAATAAAACTAAAACTAGAAACTTATGAGAACTAGAAACATTCGGGATGTGTCTCTTAAAACGGCTAAAACCGAATGTTTTTAGTTCTTGGTCAGTGTTAGTTACACTTCTAGTTCAATAAATATATACAACAATCTAACGCTAAATAACAATTAAAACTAGTATTAACACTAGACCTAGATCTAGAAACATTCGGATTTACCCGCACGTCTATCAAGACGGCTAAAACCGAATGATTCTAGTTCTAGGTCTTGTGTTAGTTCTAGTGATAACGCTAGTGCTTAGCATTAGATGTCACTGTATTGCATATTTTTATTGAATTAAAACTAGAACTAACACTAGACCTAGATCTAGAAACATTCGGAGTTCAAGACGGCTTAACCCGAATAATTCTAGTTCTATAACATGATTCATTACTAAACACGCCACAACAACGAGAAGACCAAGAAGATATCGAAAGTTAAATAAATAATCGATAATCATCAATAATATCAAATAACGGAAACAGAACATGGTGAAGTGTTATTCATAAATTGACGATTTCTTCCTGATGATGAGGGCTCAGTTTCCTCGAAACATGTAGAAAAGAAAACAAAAATAAATAACATCGATATAGTACAAGGAAAATAATTTAACCTTCATATCCAATTCTAGTTCTAGGATTTGTGTTAGTGCTAGTGATAGTGCTGGTACAAAACTAGAACTAACACTAGACCTAGAACTAGAAACATTCGGATTTAGCCGCACGTCTATCAAGACGGCTAAAGCCGAATGATTCTAGTTCTAGGTCTTGTGTTAGTTCTAGTAATAACGCTAGTGCTTAGCATTAGATATCACTGTATTGCATATTTTTATTGAATTATAACTAGAACTAACACTAGACCTAGATCTAGAAACATTCGGAGTTTAAGATGGCTTAACAGGAATGATTCTAGTTCTAGGTTTTGTGTTAGTTCTAGTGATAGTGCTGGTGTAAAACTAGAACTAACACTAGACCTAGAAACATTCGGATTTAGCCGCACGTCTATCAAGACGGCTAAAGCCGAATGTTTCTAGTTCTAGGTCTTGTGTTACTTCTAGTGATAACGCTGGTGCTTAGCATTAGATATCACTGTATTACATATTTCTATTGAATTAAAACTAGAAATAACACTAGACCTAGATCTAGAAACATTCGCATTTAGCCGCACGTCTATCAAGACGGCTAAAGCCGAATGATTCTAGTTCTAGGTCTTGTGTTACTTCTAGTGATAACGCTGGTGCTTAGCATTAGATATCACTGTATTACATATTTCTATTGAATTAAAACTAGAAATAACACTAGACCTAGATCTAGAAACATTCGCATTTAGCCGCACGTCTATCAAGACGGCTAAAGCCGAATGATTTTAGTTCTAGGTCTTGTGTTAGTTCTAGTGATAACTCTAGTGCTTAGCATTAGATATCACTGTATTGCATATTTTTATTGCATTAAAATTAGAACTAATACTAGACCTATAGTTCGTTTTTTTTTTCTATAATACTTGTCAATGTAAATTTTTTAGGGTTTCTGTTGGTATTATCTAGGACCGTTATAAAATTTATGTTGTTTTCCTGATTTTTAGTAACATTTTCAGTAACTAAATAGTTGAGGTTAAAATACTAATACATTTTTAGATAAATACGATTTTAACGAAGTACATATTTGTTGTAAAAACGTGCTACAAAGTAATTAAATAGAACAAAATAACTTTTCTAGGTAAATAAATGGCAAATAAACACCCCACAACATTTTTTATGCACCTTTTCTTTTTGAATAACGAAAGCTCAAACGTCAGTGTGACATATTTATTTCAAATCATGATAAAACAAAACACCCTGTTAATTTTGCCAACATTACAACAATTTGGCAGGTATTATAGAAAAAAAATGAACTATAGATCTAGAAACATTCGAAGTTCAAGACGGCTTAAGCCGAATGACTCTAGTTCTAGGTTTTGTGTTAGTTCTAGTGATAGTGCTGGTACAAAACTAGAACTAACACTAGACCTAGAACTAGAAACATTCGGATTTAGCCGCACATCTATCATGACGGCTAAACCCGAATGATTCTAGTTCTAGGTCTTGTATTAGTTCTAGTGATAACGCTAGTGCTTAGCATTAGATATCACTGTATTGCATATTTTTATTGAATTAAAACTAGAACTAACACTAGACCTAGATCTAGAAACATTCGGAGTTCAAGACGGCTTAAGCCGAATGACTCTAGTTCTAGGTTTTGTGTTAGTTCTAGTGATAGTGCTGGTGCAAAACTAGAACTAACACTAGACCTAGAACTAGAAACATTCGGATTTAGCCGCACGTCTATCAAGACGGCTAAAGCCGAATGATTCTAGTTCTAGGTCTTGTGTTAGTTCTAGTGATAACGCTAGTGCTTAGCATTAGATATCACTGTATTGCATATTTCTATTGAATTAAAACTAGAAATAACACTAGACCTAGATCTAGAAACATTCGCATTTAGCCGCACGTCTATCAAGACGGCTAAAGCCGAATGATTCTAGTTCTAGGTCTTGATAGTGTAAAACTAGAACTAACACTAGATCTAGAACTAGAAATATTTCCAACTTTCTAGTTCTAGGTCTAGTGTTAGTTTTAGCTTTAATTCAATAAAAATATGCAATACAGTGATATCTACTGCTAACTAGCACTACCTAGCACTGTCACTTCAGGTTTAGTCGTCTTAAGAGACGCATAGTTAAACCCAAGTGGTTCTGGTTCTAGATCTAGTAGAGCGATGGAGTTTTAGACATTGCAACATGCTTTTATTTTTTCTCTCCAGAGTTTGAATTTTTTATATAAACTGATATTTTTCTCAATGATTTCAAAAGGTGCACACTTTTTCGGCATAAAAAATAAATTCTATATTGCCGCAATTCAAAGATATGCAGCAAATAACATTTTTGGGCATTTTAGGTTTCTCACTTCTGCTATAGTTTATCGTTATCATTATAAACTGTCTTTTTAGTGTTTATTAATATTTTTTTTGGAATATCATTACATTGAAATTTCTTGTTATTGGGATGTACACACTTTTTGTCAATCCACCTTTCTAAGTGTCGGTATTTTGGTTCGTACCTTAAATGAAATCCACAATCAAAACGCACAAAAAGGGGTTAGCAGTAAGATTTACCTCGCTTTCTTCTTGTATAACCTCGCTTTTCCTTTAATACGTTGCCGTTTAATACTGCCGCTATCAAACACTTTTCTCATTAATATTCCATTCATTATTCTAATACATATCGATGTTCTTTATGAACCAATTCGTCGTCTTATTACAAATTGTCAACAAGAACATGGACTCTGCTGTAACTTATTCAGCCGGAACTCATATTATATGGTCAAGTTGCATTTTGATTCAGTAAACACTGTGTATAAGTATGTTACGTTTTGAAACTAACATTAATTTGTCGTGTACAATATAAAGGGAGTTGTATCGCTTTGACCAGAATTGACGATGTACAACATTCTACTGCCGACATAGCTTGTAATACCATCTATAAGAGAATTTTTTTAAATGTGGACATGTTACGTTTTATAAAAAAGCTCCGTATATATCCGGTCTGGTTATAACAGAAATTTTTTTGACGTATTTCCTGTTAATGATGATGGCAGGAAACTGAAACCAGTAGAAACAAAATATACATATTGGTATTTTTTCTAATATATTGTATTTTTGCTACTGTTCTAATTCTTTTCTTTAGAGATATAACGTTAAATAAAAATCATCAATAACATAAATCGTTTTTAATTCTCCTCAAATTTTGTATTACAAAATTGAATAGAGAAAGACGATCATAATCTATGAAGTCGTAATCAAAACATTCCCTTGCATCCCAATACCCCGTGTATATATTCACTAGCAATCGATGCTTCCCCTCGCCTCCCTTCTCGTGGGTCAACCCCCGTTTCGATGCTCTTCCAGGACGATCAATGCGATACCTGGCGGCGGCGGCTGGTTTCGGAAAATCCATAGCGCCACGATCTCGGGGCCCACTTAAACCGTCATATCTACTTAGCCCCGCACGTAATCCCGCAGATACAAAAGTTACTCTTTTTGTTTTGTGCTCTCCTCCGGAGTAAGAGGGGGCTCCCTTCGGTGCCCCGTAAAACCCCGCCAGGTCTTCTCCTACCAACCATTCGGACCGCCTGTAAACGTTATGATCCTTGTTGATTGGTTGGGTTCGTTACGTGAGATTCCGGTGACGTAGAAACTCCGGGGCCAATGGTAACGCAAAAGCCCACCCGGAGCCAGCCTACTCGATCCGGGCGAGCGCGATCAGTCAGACGCGCGACCGCGAATAGATAGGGTGTTAAAAGAGAAATCGAGTATTATTATTATCCGAAAAAAAAATGTTTGTGTAAAAATTTTTAAAAAAAACCAAAAAAAAAAGAAAATAGAAAACTGGCATCAACTCATATGGCGCTTGGACTCAACTCCGGTCTTTGTTCCGGTAGTTCCGGGTCACATTCGGACGCGTCTTCAAGTCCGGGAGTTAGTGTGCCCATCCCTTTAGCTCCGGTGATACCAAACCCGATGTTTGCACTACCAACGTTAAATTTTACCGTGTCGCAGGTGGCGGCGGTTTGCGAAACTCTAGAAGAAAGTGGTGATATAGAAAGACTTGCAAGATTTCTTTGGTCATTACCGGTAGCGCATCCAAACATCACCGAATTAAATAAAAGCGAAGCCGTACTTCGAGCACGAGCAATCGTTTCATTTCACAGCGGTAATTTTCGCGAACTTTACAACATCTTAGAATCTCATAAATTTACGAAAAGTTCGCACGGAAAGTTACAAGCGATGTGGCTCGAAGCACATTATCAAGAAGCGGAAAAGTTACGCGGAAGGGCACTCGGACCCGTCGATAAATATAGGGTTAGAAAAAAATTTCCGTTACCTAGAACGATATGGGATGGGGAGCAAAAGACTCATTGTTTCAAAGAGAGAACGAGAAGCTTGTTACGGGAGTGGTACCTTCAAGATCCTTATCCAAATCCGACGAAAAAACGCGAACTTGCCCAAGCAACTGGATTGACACCGACGCAAGTTGGAAATTGGTTCAAGAATAGAAGGCAAAGAGATCGAGCTGCGGCTGCTAAAAATAGGTAGGTTTTTAAAAATTAAATTTCTAAATAATAACCTCCACTAGTATATCTATACTAAATTAACGGACAACCAACAATTATCGTTACAACTTAACACCAGTTCGCAGTGACGTTGTTGGATTTATGTTTTAGGGCACAACCCATGGGGGTCTGTGTGGCCACTAATTAGGACCCTATCCGAATCGTTCCGCGCGCGAGAAAACTATAAATTTCAGCCACCGGATAAACGCCTAAATAGCACACGTTCAGATTTTCACTTTGATTTATTAGATACAAAAAGCACCATAATCGAGTATTCATCTTTAAGAAAACCATAACAGATTTTGTGTTACATGCATCTTTTCATATCTGTTTAATTAATATATCTCGTTTGGTTGTAACAGAAATTTTGTTGACGTATTTCGTGGTAATAATGATGGTAGAAAACCGAAACCGGTAAAAACAAAATATAATTGAAGATATTCCCGATCCAATGACAATAACTTCATATTACTATTTTTTCTGATATATAGTACACCATAATCGAGTATTCATCCTTAAGAAAACCATAACAAATTTCGGAACAATACCCATCATTATTAACCATAACCAATAATCCAAATAGCTTCCTATTCAGGTGAACAATAAGTCTTAAACACATTTTAAGTGTCGTTAAAACATAATTTGAGAAACCGCAAAATACAATAAAGAATAAGAGAAAAAGATTTTTACCTGGTTTTTACGTGATTTTTCTCGGAATATTAAAAAAAATGTATCGTAATAAATGAGTTGTTGGTTATAATCGTGGAAAACGATCTCTCGGATGGTAAATTCCGGTAGAATCCGGTAGTCGTGCGATGAATGGGGCCGTAGATCACCAAGTCCCGGAGTTGTAATTATTGCCGTCGGCGTACGGTATTACGCCATTATACCGACAGATACCGGTATCATGATACATTACCGACGCCAGAACGGGGGCTCTTTATGCATTTATAGCCCTTTTGCCAACTACCGCGAACAATGTAAACGGGGTTACCACTCATTGAGTTAACATTTCTATTTACCTAAATTTACAATTTCTTATTAACACAATCGAAATAAGTTATACTACTAAGAAATCGATAACGAATTAAAAGGTGGTATGTTAAATACAATTTTCCTTTGAGTACTATTTAAACCCAGCTGTTTGCGCTTAGTCGTGTAGTTTACTTCTATATAATTATTATGAATAAAATTAGTACCTAATAATTTAACACGTGTTTAACACGTGTTTGAACACATGTATCAAGTTCGTTGTGCGTTGTTACTAAAAGTTCTTGAAGATGGAGAATTTTTTGAAATCAGTTGAGGTTATTTATTATTATTATTATAATTGTATCAGAACAATGTTATCTAATCCAAATATAAGATTAACAATGTCCAAAAATTGGTTTCTATTTCAAAAATATATCAGCAACAAAGTCCATATTCTTCTGATTTCCCTATTTGGACTAACAATCTCAATGATTCTCTAAATATGTTGCAAATAGCTTATTTTTCATTGTATAATGTCATACCACTGGCTACAAGAATTTTGATTACTTTATTAAAATGCTATACAGGGCGATTTATTAGCTCACCATCAAACTTTGACATAAGATAGCTAATTCATCAATCGTCCTATTTCAATTATTTACGAAATTATAACACTTTAAAGTTTTCTGCAGCGAAAACACTATTCATTTCATTAATAGTCAGTAAAATCAAACATTCAATATAGTAGTTTGCTGCAAGGTTTAATTATTACATACAAGAATGTACGCTTACAGCACTGAAGAGTATGCTAATATAATTTTCGTGTCTGGTTTTTGCAATGGAAGTGCTTGACAATCAGTACGAGAATATCAAGAAAGATTTCCACAGCGTCATTTGCCATATTATTCAGTTTTTAGCAATTTATTTTTAGCAGTTTTTAGCAACAAAAGGTATTCGACCGCATGTAGTTAATGTAGAGGACGAAGAAGCTGTAATTAACGTTGTTATTGATAATCCTTCCATCAGCACTCGAAGAATAACACACAACATACATGTAAGTTAAAATTTTGCATGGTGCGTATTGAACCGCGCAGTCCTTCATCCGTATCGTAAACAGAATGTTCAAGCTCTACAGCTAGGATATAATCAGCAACGGTTAGCGTTTTGTGAATGGTTATTGCAGCAACATGCCCAAAATAATGACTTCATTTCAAATCTTCTCTGGACAGATGAATCATGTTTTACACATCCGCAAGCGATTAGTCCAAGGATTTTTCAAAAACGTTTCAGCATCAACGTTTGGGGTGGAATATTTAACAACAATTTACTAGGTTTTCATGTAACAATACACTTTTTGATTTACTTGAAGATATACCTCTTAATGTAATTGAAAATATGTGGTACCAGTACGATGGTGCCCCACGTCATCGCGGAAGAGTACTATTAAATCAATATTTTCCAAACAAGTGGATTGGTAATAATGGTCCATTTGCTTGGCTACCTAGGTCCCCGACCTTAATCCATTCGATTTCTACTTATGGGGTCAAACGAAACAAACTGTGTATCAAGTGGAAATTACTGGACTACTGAAATAAGAAATCAACCAGACATTTTAATTCGGCTGAAGAACTCTTTAATTCGTCGTTGTGAAGCATATATTCTAGCAGAAGGAGGCTGTTTGAATAATATTTGTAATATTTATGTGTTTTAAAAAAATGTAGCAGATAATTATGATATAAAAATTAAAACTTTAAAGTGTTATAATTTCGTAAATAATTGAAATAGGACATTATGTTCATTAACATTTTTTTTTGTAATTGGATTAGCTATCATATGTATCACCCTGTATAACAATGCAAATGAACACTGTGTATAAGGATTCTCTGTTGGGTGTCTAATAAATCTTTAGGAGATTCAAAACTAAACGATTTCAAAGATATTTGACATTTTGTATGATACCTTTCTGGTATATCGGGAATTTCATATAACTCGCAATATATGAATGCTGTAACCATATGTATGCAGTATTTCACATGAAATGCAATATAACTTAATAGTACAGGCATTGGGTAATTTTGCAAAGGAAAAGTTTTGCTTGGAAAAAGGTGACGTCGGTAGTGTTAGTTCTACTTTTCGTTCAATAAATATGTATCACAATCTAATGCTGAATAACAATTAAAACTAGAACTAACACTAGACCTAGAAACATTCGTGTTTAGCCGCACGTCTCTCAAGACGGCTAAACCCGAATGATTCTAGTTCTAGGTTTTGTGTTAGTTCTAGTGGTAGTGCAAAACTAGAACTAACACGAGACCTAGAACTAGAAACATTCGAATTTAGCCGTCTTAAAAGACATTGGCTAAATCAAATGTTTCTAATTCTAGGCTTAGTGTTAGTTCTAGTTTTGCAATATCACTAAAACTAATACAAGACCTAAAACTAGAGGTTCTAGTTTTAGTTTAACTAGACAAACTACGTATAAAATGTGTACACAAGATGAGGAAATGAAGAAAATATTACATAAAAACTACGTTAAAAGTAAATAAAACTTACCACGAAAGAAATTATCACAAAAAGATACAAATTTATGTGTCAATTTGACGTTTATGCTATAACTTAACGCTCATTAAACGTCAAGTGTCATTGTTGCCAACATAAATTATGGGTTTTAAAAGAAATAAATTCTTTTTATTTTTATAAATAAAATTGTAAATTAACGTAATTTGTTGAGGTTAAAAAACAAAATTAATCTTTATATTCATAAATAATCACGTTTTTATTTTATTTCTGTGAAAAATATCTTAAACTCAACCTAACCTAAAATAACGGTAACTGTCAATTTTTAATACAAATATTTTTTAAGATTTTTTTTGAGGTTATAAGACCCGTATTCTTTTCGCTTTGTTATGAATTAGATTATAATGTATCTATATAAAATAAACTAGACTCCTTGCACATAGCAATCGAACCACGAAAGATAGTGATTTAAAAAAAAACTTGTCAAACAAGAAACTGGAAAATCTAGGAAAACACCAGCAGAAAAGACATTGGCTAAATCGAATGTTTCTAATTCTAGGCTTAGTGTTAGTTCTAGTTTTCAATATCACTAAAACTAACACAAGACCTAAAACTAGAGGTTCTAGTTTTAGTTTAATAGCAATATACAACAATCTAGCCCTATCTAATGCCACCGTACTCTACTTAGCGCTGTCATTAGAACTAACACTAGATCTAGAACTAACTATATTCGGGTTTAGCCGTCTTAAAGAATTAAAGCTCTTTAAGAAATCATTTTCATACCAAATTACTAAAATATACAATGATATGTCGTTACATGTGAGATCATCTGCAACCATTTACACATTTAAATGGAAATACTCAAGGCATTTGTCTGGCCTAGGGTGAAATGTCGTGATCTATCACATTCACATTTTCATCTTGTCGATGACAAGGACGACAACCTTTCTTTTTCTCTTCATTTCTTTATCATTTGGTTAGTGTTGAAGTATGTGTAGATTTCTTGTGTTAAGTTTTTGAGTGCTGCTGTTTTCTTTTTGTTGCTATTGTTTTTATTTTCTTTTTTTGGTGTAGTTGAAAACCGGTTTTTCACCGAACTGCGCCGTTTTTCCAGAAAGAATATGTTTTGTGATGGAAATTAATGTATCGATTTAATTTTTTTGTAGAATTTTTTCTTTCTCTTTCTAGAAAATAAATGCATTATTATTATGAAGAGACGTTCGGCTAAACACGAATGTTTCTAGTTCTAGTGATAGTGTAGCTTCAGACATGTATTAACATGTTGCATTTTATGTGAGACAAAGTAAGTAAGCCCTAGTTTCTATGGAAATATATTTTTGTATATTGCATCTGAAGTGAAATTCACTGTATATGATCTCTCATTCAAGTGATGTTAAATGCACGATAATGCTTGATTTAGCAGATAGCTTGCGGCCGCAGCTTGTGGTCGATACCATATTGTTACTTGGTGGTATTCTAATAAACTAGAT